GAAGCCTTCAGGGAGAGAGGCATGGAGGACCCACTGGCATCACCCATCAGTGGCCACCGCCCTCACCCATCACCCATCTGTCCGTGCATCCCTTCCTACAGCGCTCCTGCAATGCACACATGTGCAAAGCCCTGGGAAGGAGGTGCCATCCCTGCCTTTAACACACTGGGTCTAGCAGTTGGAAAAAGATTTCCCTTTAATCTCATTGTGAAGCCAGTGAACCCAGGCTCAGCATCCCTCATCCCCTGGCTCCCCACTTTCTGCCCCAGGGTTCCACCTTTCTAGACTGTCTTTTGAGGGATGCATGGCACCAGCTGAGCGCCAGCACCTCCTGTGCTGTCTGACTCCGCAGCCTGACCCTCCCCCGCTCCACCTGCCCCGTTTCCCGGCCCATTCCCTCTGCCTTCCTATCCAGAGGCCATCCAGCAGCACCGCCGGAACCTGGCTGAGTGGTTCAGCCGGCTGCCCCGGGAAGAGCGCCAGTTCGGCCCGACCTTCGCACTAGACACGGTGCACGTGGACCCCGTGGTCCGTGAGAGTGCCCCCGATGAGCTGCTTCGCCCGCCTTCTGAGCTTCGTTCCCCTTCGCAGCCACCCCCGGCCACGCGCCCCCCCCTGGCCCTGTCTCAGCTCTTTGACCCGGATGCCTGTGGGTGCCAGGTGCAGACGGTGGTCCTGTATGGCACCGTGGGCACCGGCAAGAGCACACTGGTGCGCAAGATGGTGCTGGACTGGTGCTATGGGCGGCTGCCAGCCTTCGAGCTGCTCATTCCCTTCTCCTGTGAGGACCTGTCATCCCTGGGCCTGGCCCCGGCCTCCTTGTGCCAGCTGGTGGCCCGGCGCTACACGGCCCTGAAGGAGGTTCTGCCCCTGATGGCCGCAGCGGGCTCTCGCCTGCTGTTTGTGCTCCATGGCTTGGAGCGGCTCAACCTGGACTTCCGGCTGGCAGGCACGGGGCTATGCAGTGACCCCCAGGAGCCAGCGGCGCCGGCTGCCATTCTCGTCAACCTGCTGCGCAAATACATGCTGCCCGAGGTGGGTGCCCTCCTGCCGGCCTCTCTAGCCCTGATTTGCCACCTACGAGTTTTTGTGTCTTAGGCCTGCATTGTTAAAATATATTTTTTCATTGATTTCATAGAGGGAGAGAGAGAGAGAAACATCAGTGATGAGAGAATCATTGATCGGCTGCTTCCTGCACACCCTACACCAGGGGCCAAGCCCACAACCTGGGCCTGTGCCCTGACGGGGAATCCAACCGTTACCTCCTGGTTCATAGGTGATGCTCAACCCCTGAGCCACGCCAGCCAGGCTAGGCTCGCATACTGACTCGGGGGAGAGGCCCTGGGCGAGTTCACATCCTGGCCCCACCGCTTCCCAGCCATGTGTCTTTGAACAAGTCACCAACTTGCCACGCTTTCTGTTTTTTTCTTCTTGAGTCGTGCTGATGGAAGCGGCACTAACCACATAGAGCTGTGCGAACCCCCCCCCCCCCCCAGGACTTTCCTTAGCCTCTGTCTCCTCTGAAGGACCATCATCTGGGCCCCTGGAGGGGAGCTGCTGGAGTCTATATGGTCCCTGCACCCCTTGTTCAGCACCACCCCAATACCATGTGTTCATCAGCACGGCCTTCGGTCTAGACCAGTGGTTCCCAACCTTCCTCAACCCCTGAGCCACGCCAGCCAGGCTAGGCTCGCATACTGACTCGGGGGAGAGGCCCTGGGCGAGTTCACATCCTGGCCCCACCGCTTCCCAGCCATGTGTCTTTGAACAAGTCACCAACTTGCCACGCTTTCTGTTTTTTTCTTCTTGAGTCGTGCTGATGGAAGCGGCACTAACCACATAGAGCTGTGCGCACAGTGCGGGCTCCCAGCAGGTGCAGGTCATGGTTAGTTATCCTCATTAGAGTCGTCATCATTCCCACCCTGGGACACTCGGTCCTCAGGCGCTCCCGGGGTATAAGGGCTCTCTGACCCTCGCCTCTGCCCTTCCAGGCCAGCATCCTGGTGACCACCCGGCCCTCCGCTGTGGGCCGCATCCCCAGCAAGTACGTGGGCCGCTACGGCGAGATCTGCGGCTTCTCGGACACCAACTTGCAGAAACTCTACTTCCAGCTGCGCCTCCACCAGCCGGACTGCGGGCCCGGCGCCGGGGGTGCGGGCGTCCCGGCCACGGCGGCACAGCGGGACAGCCTAGTGGAGATGCTGTCCCGGAACCTGGAGGGCCACCACCAGATCACAGCCGCCTGCTTCCTGCCCTCCTACTGCTGGCTGGTGTGCGCCACCCTGCACTTCCTGCACGCGCCCACCCCGGCCGGCCAGACCCTCACCGGCATCTACACCAGCTTCCTGCGCCTCAACTTCAGCGGGGAGGTGCTGGCCAGCGGAGACCCCGCGCAGCTGTCGCTGATGGCCTACGCCGCCCGGACCATGGGCAAGCTGGCCCAGGAGGGGGTGTCCTCCCGCCAGACCCGCTTCTCCGAGGAGGACGTGCGCAGCTGCCTGGAGGCGGGCGTCCGCACGGAGGAGGAGTTCCAGCTGCTGCACATCTTCCGCGGGGACGCCCTGCGCTTCTTCCTGGCGCCGTGCGTGGAGCCGGGACACCCCGGCACCTTCGTGTTCACTGTGCCGGCCATGCAGGAGTACCTGGCCGCCCTCTACATTGTGCTGGGCTTGCGCAAGACCACGCTGCAGCGGGTGGGCAAGGACGTGGCCGAGCTGGCGGGCCGCGTCGGGGAGGACGTCAGCCTGGTCCTGGGCATCGTGGCCAAGCTGCTGCCGCTGCGGATCCTGCCAGTGCTCTTCAACCTGCTCAAGGTAACGCCAGCGCGGCCCGGCGGCCTCCTGCTTCCCTCCCCGAGGAAAGGGCTGCGCCTGCAGAGCTCGGAGCCCTTCCTTCGGCTCTGGTTTCAGATTTGGGCAATGTGGCTTTATTTTACTTTATATTTTATTTTATTTTATTGCTTTGAGAGAGGAAGGGAAAGGGAGAGAGAAGCATTGATAGGCTGCCTCCTGCTCGCCCCACCCTGGGGATCTAGCCCGCATTCTGAGCATGTGCCCTGACAGGGAATCAACGCCTGCCACTGAGCTGTACCAGCCAGGTCAGTGTGGCTTCAGTGGGACTGGGGTGTTAAGAAGGGCGGAGGGAAGCCACAGGCTGGGGGGAGGGGGGGAATTTGAGGATGCAGGGACTTTATTTATTTATTTATTTTTAAAATCTTTATTGTTAAAAGTATTACATATGTCCCCCTTTCCCTCCCATTGCTCCCCTCCAGTTTACCCCGCGCCCCCTCCAGACCTTCACCACCCCATTGTCTGTGTCCATGGTCTTTGGTTGATTACCTCCCACCCACCCGCCCTGCCCCGCCTTCCCTCCGAGATTCCGCACTCTGTTCCCTGTGTTCCCTCCCCTGCCTTCCTTCAGAGAGTCTGACCCATGTCTCTGGATACCCTCCATTCGTCAGTTTATTTTGTTTCTTAGATTCCACATATGAGGGAGATCATGGATACTTGTCTTTCTCTGACTGACTTATGTCACTCAGCATGACACTCTCCAGGCCCCTCCATGCTGTCTCAAAGGGTAAGAGACCCTTCTCTGTTACTGCTGCATACTATTCCATGGTGTAGATGTACCACAGTGTTTTATCCACTCACCTGCTGATGGGCCCTTGGGCTGTTTCCAGGTCTTAGCTATTGTAAATTGTGCTGAGGGTGCAGGGACTTTAATAACAACGCTACAATTCTAAGATGGTTTTCTTCCACACCTCTGCTCCTAGCCCTTATTTCTGGAAGGTTATTGAATTTGGTGGCATATAATCTTTCATAATAGTCTAGCATGATCCTTGTATATCTGTGATGTCTGTGGTGACTTCTCTCATTTCTGATTTTGTTTATATGGATCTTTTCACTTTTTTCCTTAGTGCAGCGGTTCTCAACCTGTGGGTCGCGAACCCTTTGGCCATCGAACGACCCTTTCACAGGGGTCGCCTAAGACCATCCTGCATATCAGATATTTACATTACGATTTATAATAGTAGCAACATTACAGTTATGAAGTAGCAACGAAAATAATTTTATGGTTGGGTCACAACATGAGGAACTGTATTTCAAGGGCCAGAGGTTGAGAACCATTGCCTTAGTGAATCTAGCCAGGGGTTTGTCAATTTTATTAATCTTAAAAAAAAAACAGCTCTTCATTTTATTAATTTTTTTGTATAGTCTTTCTGTTCTCTATTTCATTCCATTCTGCTCTAATTTTTATTATTTTCTTTTTTCTGCTGACTTTGGGTTGCTTTTGTTCTTCTTTTTATAGTTCTTTAAGATGTGAAGTTAGGTTGTTTACTTGGGATTTCTCTTATTTCTTGAATAGGCCTGTAATGATTTGAACTTCCCTCTTATTACTGCTTTTGCTGCATCCCAGAAGTTTTTTTTTCCCCATATATTTTATTGACTTTTCACAGAGAGGAAGGGAGAGGGATAGAGAGCCAGAAACATCGATAAGAGAGAAACATCGATCAGCTGCCTCCTGCACGCCCCCTTCTGGGGACACACCCACAACCAAGGCACATGCCCCTGACCAGAATTGAACCTGGGATCCTTCAGTCTGCAGGCAGATGCTCTATCCACTGAGTTAAACCAGTCAGGGCTCCCAGAAGTTTTTTTAAAAATATATTTAAATATATGTTCTTTGTTTCAGGTAGAGTAACTCCCTTGAGTATTTCCTGCAATGAAGGTTTTTCTGGTGATAAAATCCCTCAGCTTCTCTATGTCTGGGGTCATGTTTATTTCTCCTTCATAGTTAAAGGATTATTTTGCTGGATATATTATTCATGGCTGGTAATTTCTCTCTTTCAGACATTTTAATATTTGGTTCCACTCTCTTCTGGCTTATAGAGTTTCTACTGAGAAGTCAGATGAAGTTCTGATGGGTTTTCCTTTGTAGGTCCCTTCCCTCTTTTTCCTGGCTGTTTTAAGAAGTTTTTCATTGTCACTGATTTTTGACAGTTTTAATATAAAGTGCCTTGGAGAGGGCCTCTGTGGATTGAGGTAACCAGGGTTCTGTTTGCTTCTTGGATTCAAGGATTCAGTTCTTGCCATAGGTTAGGAAGTTCTCACCCACTGTTTGTTTGAATAGACTCTCCATTCCCCTCTTCCTCTTCCAGAATTATTCTAATATTGCTTTTTCTGATGGAGTCAGAGAGTTCTCATAGAGCTCTTTCACTTTTCTTTTTAATATTTTTTTTTATTGATTTCGGAAAGGAAAGGAGAGGGAGAGAGAGATGGAAACATCAATGAGTGAGTCATTGATTGGCTGCCTCCTGCACGCCCCACACTGGGGATCGAGCCTGCAACCCAGGAATGTGCCCTTGACCAGAATCGAACCCAGGACCTTTCAGTCCTCAGGCCAACGCTCTACCCATTGAGCCATGTTTCTTTATGGTCTGTCTTCTTTCTTCTGCATCATTTCTAGATTCCTATCTTTGATATCACTAATTCTTTCCTCCATCTGGTTGGCTCTGTTTTCTGTGTTTAGTAGTTCACTTTTAAAATATGTATATATTTTTTAGTGACTTCAGAGAGGAAGGGAGAGGGACAGAGAGCATGACTGATTGGCTGCCTCCTGCACGACCCCCACTGTGGATCAAGCCTGTAATCTGGGTATGTGCCCTTGGCTGGAATCAAACCCGGATGCTCCAGTCTGCAAGCTGACGCTATCCTCTGAGCCAAACCTGCTAGGGCAAGTAGTTTACGTTTAATCTCCTTAATTGCATGCTTCATTTCCAGGATTTCTGATTATTTTTTTCTTAAATATTTTTTTATTTCTTGATCCCCAGTAGGGAACAGGCAGGAGGTAGCTGATTCATGATTCTCTCTCATCACTGATGTTTCTATCTCTCTCTTCATCTCCCTCTCTGTAAAAAATAAATAAAAAAATATATTTTTAAAAAAATAATGAGAATCAGAAACATCAATGATGACAGAGAATCATTGATTGACTGCCTCTTTCACATCCCTACTGGGGATTGAGCCGGCAACCTGGGCATGTATCGTGACCCAGTATAGAACCATGACCTCCTGACTCATGGTTTGACGCTCAGCCACTGAACCACATTGATCCTTTTTTAAAGTTTCAATCTCTTTGGTAAAGTACTTGTTTTGTTCATTGATTTGTTTTCTGAGTGCATTGAATTGCCTGTCTGTATATTCTCGCATCAGATTGAGTATTTTCAGAACAGCAATCTTGAAATCTCTGTCATTTATCCATGTGTTCCAGCTTGCTTTCTGGGGATTTTTCCTTTCCTTTCTGATCATCTTCGTTACCATGGTGATTAATGGTATTTGCTGTCCTCCTTTGCCTCTACTGGTTTTTTTAATATATTTTATTGATTTTTTTACAGAGAGGAAAGGAGGGAGACAGCCAGAAACATCCATGAGAGAGAAACACCGATCAGCTGCCTCCTGCACATCTCCCACTGGGGATGTGCCCGCAACCCAGGTACATGCCCTTGACTGGAATCAAACCTGGGACCTTTCAGTCCGCAGGCCGACGCTCTATCCACTGAGCCAAACCGGTTTCAGCTCTACTGGTACCTTTATATCTGTCTTATTAATACCCAATAGCCCCTTTCTCTGCAGAGGTCTTTCTATTATTTTCCAGTAGATGGCGCTGGATCGCAATATTTTTTACCTCTGTGATCTCCCAGTCTTGAGCTCCACGGCTTCCAAAGACAGTACAGCGGTGCTGCTTGGAGGAGGGGTTTGTTTTGCCCTCACTGTAATGGTGACCCCTGACCTCCGTAGGGTCCCATTCTAAGCACCCCTCCTGGGGATCAGTCACAGAGGGAAACAGCGGTTCTACTGTAGTAGCTCTTGGTCTACAGATAATATGCTCCTGGACCCAACTCCCAGGGCACCGGGAGACGAGTGTTGGGAGTCCAAGTGGCAGCGGGGCTCTGTGGTTCCGTTTCTTTGTCTGAAACACCACCGCCTGGCCCGACTGTGGGGAGTCGCAGAGCAGAACCTGTGCTCTGTGAGGCGTCTGCTGGCTCAGTTACTCGCTCCACTGGCCCTGCCCGGCTGCCCCTCCTCCCAGCAGAAGGAAATGCCTGCTACTGCCCACTTCCTCTCCTCCAGGCCGAGCAGCGAGCTCCCAGCTGCAGGGCTGTGTCTGCGGCTCCATCTGCATTTTCCTCCTTTCTCATCTCCCTGTTCATTCCTGGTTGCCCACCTTTATTATTATTTTCTTAAATATATTTTTGTTGATTTCAGAGAGGAAGGAGAGGGAGAGAGAGATAGACACATCAATGATGAGAGAAAACCATTGATTGGCTGCCTCCTGTACGCCCCACACTGGGGATGGAGCCCACTTACCTGGGTGTGTGCCCTGACCAGAAATCCAACTGTGACCTCCTGGTTCATAGGTCCACGCTCAACCCCTGAGCTGCGCCGGCCGGGCCTGGTCGCCCACCTTTAGAAGTTCATGGTGAGGGCCTCTCAGGCCGCGTCTGCGTTGAGCAGGGGCTTTTGCTGAATTATAGTTGGTTAACTTGTTGAAGTTTCAGGGGGAGAGGCCAAGGGGATCGCTCATGCCACCATTCCTCCGACTCCCTTCATCCTTGTGTCTGAAATGGGGATAATAGAATCTGTCTCATTGCCTAATGGGAGAGTGAAACGCATTCATCCGCATATTGAGGATGCTGTTTAATTTTTAAACATGAAAACAGGCTCAGCCGCCCACCCCATCTCACACCATCTCCTCAGACGGGCGGCAACAGCTGGGGCTGCCCACCATTCGAGGATGTGCTTGCCTCACCGACTGCAGTGGGAGACTGGTCCCCTGGAGGCCCAGCACCCCTCCAATGTAGAGTCAGGGTTCTTAGCCCCACGCTCAGAGGGAGGCCTGCCTCACAGAGGGCAGTTCCATCTGCTGCTTCATGACCCGAGGGGAACATTCCCTATCCCAACACCAGATTAGGGTCAGTCCAAGAGCACTACCCTCCATGGCCGGAGCCCCGCCTGGAAAAAGTGAAAAAAATAAAACCATACTTTAGAGGAGGTGTCATAGCACCCCTGGTGGCTCCCCGAGCAAGGGCCTCCTGTCCTTTCGGAACAATTGCAGGGACGAGCCGTGGGGCTGCAGACATCCCCAACAGTCCTCTCTTCAGTGAATATTTGCGTGCCTGCCGTGTACCAGGCGCTGCGCTAGATTCTAAGAAAAACCAGTTAATAGAACCCCAGGTTTCTGCGTTTTCTCATCGTGCGGTCTGAACACAGACCCGCCGGCATCACCATGGAATGAGCACTCCGGTCAGGGCCTGCACAGCCCAGTGCCGGGCGCCGAGTGTCTGGGGCCTGGCCTCGGGTAAGGAAGCCTCTGTGCCGGGGGCAGTCGCTCTGGTCCCCGAGGGTCCCCAGACAGAATCGGCGGAGCTCCTCTGAAGAGGAGAGAGCTTTGGAGGCGGAGAAACCTCAGCATTGGAGGGAAGCAGCGTGGGTGAGGGTGCGAGGCCCGTGATGAAGTCGGCAGGGACCAGGGATGCCGGCTGACGGAGGAGGGACGTGCCATCAGTCGTCATTGCTCTGAGGAGGATGCTGAAGATGGGGATGTAGTTATAACACCGGCGGCTCCACACTAACTGCACGCTACCTGCTGCTTCCTTCCCACCACCTCCTGGGCGGGACGTGCATGGGGCTGGGAAGAAAGTATGTCTGGAGGGCATGAGAGCGGCTGAGGAGGACTCTGGGCAGATCACATGGGGCCCAGTTACGAACAGTTTCCTATTCTGTGCAGGCAGTGGGAGCCCTGGGAGGCGGCGCAGCCAGGGAGTCATGTGACCGGACAGACCATGCTGCGAGTGCAGGAGGGACACCCGCTGGGGCAGGCATGGAGCCGGCACGCAGAGGCCGCAGCCCCTGCCCTCTTCCTCTCCCAGGTGGTCCCACGCGTGTTCGGGCGAGTGGTGGGGAAGAACCGCGAGGCAGTGGCCCAGGCCATGGTGCTGGAGATGTTCCGAGAGGAGGATTACAACAACGATGACGTCCTGGACCAGATGGGCGCCAGCATCCTGGGCATGGAGGGCCCCCGGCGCCACCCCGACGAGGCCCCCGAGGACGAGGTCTTTGAGCTCTTCCCCATGTTCATGGGGGGGCTGCTCTCTGCCCAGAACCGGGCCATGCTGGCCCAGCTTGGCTGCCCCATCAAGAACCTGGACGCGCTGGAGAACGCCCAGGCCATCAAGAAGAAGCTGGGCAAGCTGGGCCGGCGGGCGCTGCCGCCCTCGGAGCTCCTGGACCACCTCTTCTTCCACTACGAGTTCCAGAACCAGCGCTTCTCTGCCGAGGTGCTCAGCTCCCTGCGCCGGCTCGACCTGGCGGGCGTGCGCATGACACCCCTCAAGTGCACGGTGGTGGCAGCTGTCCTGGGCAGCGGCAGGCATGCCCTGGACGAGGTGAACTTGGCCTCTTGCCAGCTGGACCCCGCTGGGCTGCGCACGCTCATGCCCGTCCTCTTGCGTGCCCGGAAGCTGGGGTGAGGACCTTGTGCTCGGGCATGAAGAGGAGAGGCTGGCGGGGCAGAGGTGGGAGGAGGAGGTGCCAGGGAGACCAGGGGCACTGAGGAAGGGCCACGGGCCGGATGGGGGTGTGGGTCTGGGTGGAAGGGATGAGCAGTCAGAGGGAGGATAGGTGTGGACTGCAGAGGCAGGATGGGGAGACAGGCCAGTGGATGGCCAGCCTTGGCTCAACTTCTCTGGTTTCTCCCTCCCCTCGGGCCACCCTCTGCCCAGCTTGCAGCTCAACAGCCTGGGCCCGGAGGCCTGCAGGGACCTCCGAGAGCTGCTGCTGCACGACCAGTGCCAACTTTTTTGCTGGCGGCCAGCTGAGGTCAGGGATGGGCTCCACCTCAGCACGCCTGGCACAGGCCCACTCCAGGTCCAGGACAAGAAGGAGGGCGGATGGGGTGAGATGCCACCAGCAACAGGTGCTAAGAGAGCCTCTCATGGGACTGAAGTCAGCCTGGGAAAGGGGTTGGAATGGAGCCCAGGCCAGTGGCTTGGTGACAGAGCCACTGATCCCGGGATGTGTGTTGCCTCACAAGGATGAACTTACGCTGGGCACTCCGTCGATGCTCCCAGAGTTGACTGACTTACTAGGAACCAGACTTCTGGGCTCCCGGTTTCTGGTTGAAGTGAGGGGAGGCGAATGAGGAGAGAGAAAGGAGGGGGGGCAAGAAGGATGGGGCTCTGGGCTCCAGGGAGGAGGTGAGGGGAGAGGGGAGAGGGGAGAGGGAGTCGGTGAGGGGAGAGGGGAGAGGGAGTCAGCAAGGGGAGTGGAAAGGGGGTGAGGAGAGAAGCCAGCTCCTGCCCTCTCCCTCCTCTGCAGGTACCACCCCTGCTAGTCTCCACCCTCCCTCCTGGGCCTGCAGTTTTGTGTCCAGGCTGGTCTCCACCCCAGGTTGCACCCTTTGGGCCCAAGCACGGGGTCTCTCCCACAGGCCCTTGTAACCTTGCGATGCTTGTGGCTGCAGGCTGTCCAACAACCCGCTGACGGCTGCAGGGGTGGCCTCGCTGGTGGAGGGCCTGGCGGGAAACACCTCCCTGACACACCTGTCCCTGCTGCACACGGGCCTCGGGGACGAGGGCCTGGAGCTGCTGGCTGCCCAGCTGCAGCACAACCAGCGGCTACAGGAGCTGAACGTGGCCTACAATGGCGCCGGTGACACTGCGGCCCTGGCTGTGGCCAAGGCGGCCTGGGAGCACCCCTCCCTGCAGCTGCTGCAGTGAGTCCTGTCCCCGCCCAGCCCCCAGCCCCAGCTGCTTCTCCTCCAATGTTCCTGCCCCAGTGAGGGGCCCGGCCTCTCTGCCTGGCTCCGGAGTGATGCCAACCGGCCTGGAGCCAACCCTTCCCTGCTCTCCTTCCCCCATTTGTCCTGGGCTCCTGGCGGCCCCCTTCCTAGTCCCTGGTCCCACTAAATTCTACAGGCATCCCTGCCTCCCGTGGGCCACCACACTCCGGCTCGGGCTCATTGAAGACACACCCATGGCGTTACACAGCCGGTGGCTGAGCCGTGAGCCCCCCTTGCTCTCTGCCCCTCACACCCCCTGCCCCTCCCTCTCAGAGCCCTGCTGACGGCACACCTCTGCTCTCTCCCGCTAGCCTCTACTTCAACGAGCTCAGCTCCGAGGGCCGCCAGTTGCTGCGGGACATGGGGGACGCGGCGGAGGGCCGAGCCCGGGTGGTGGTGTCGCTGACAGAGGGCACGGCAGTGTCGCGGTACTGGTCGGTGATCCTCAGTGAAATCCAGCGGAACCTCCACAACTGGGATCGAGCCCGGGTCCGGCGCCATCTCCAACTCTTGCTGCGGGACCTGGAAGATAACCGAGGCGCCACCCTGAACCCGTGGCGCAAGGCCCAGCTGCTGCACGTGGAGGGCGAGGTCAGG